CTTCTTCTTCTTCTCCTTCTCCTTCTCCTTCTCCTTCTCCTTCTCCTCCTCCTCCTCCTCCTCCTCCTCCTCCTCCTCCTCTATTCTGTCTGATTCTAATTTCTGGCCAGGTGAATCCCTGTGGGTCGAAAAGGGAAAACAGTAGACCTTCTGCAGCCGGGGAAAAAAAAACCCACCCAATTCCCAGTAGATCATTCACCAAGAAGGACACTGAGGAGCTGCAGCGTCAGATCCGTGTATCTGCCATTCTTCAATGGAAGAAGAAGGGTGGGGGGAAGTTGGTATAAGTCATCCTTTCTGATTGAATCTGTATAACTCACACATGATATACAACTGGAGGACTGGAGCCAGATGTCTAGAAACTTGTCACCTCTTGGAGAGATAGCAAGAGGAGAAGGGACCATAAAAATTCCAGCTCTGGAAGATACTCCCTGGGAAACTCTTCTAAGATACGCTCCCAGAAAAGGGGATGGGGGGGGGGAATTAACATACTGGTTCTTTGTTTGACAAAATCCACATCTAAATAAGGGGAGGGGTACTAACTCCCTTTATCTGTTCCTGTATGCCTGGAAGCAGATTCTGCTTTGACTAGTATTGGAATCATTTCCTTTCAATAAAGAATTCCTTTTGAAGTGTCTACCTTGCAGAAGGTCATTCTTTTTGGGGGTTGAAGAGGGAAAAGTCCATTGCTTACATGCAGACTTGAGGGAGATCTTCTAGGGGGTCACATCTCCATTCTGTTTCTTTGCAACACGCTTCCACACAAAGTTGGCCAACCCAAGAATGCGTCCCTCGCTCAGTTTGTGTGCGTTTTGCCTCTTCGTATTTTTCGGCTTTCCCCTGCGATCTGATTGTCTCGGCCCTTCCTGACTGTCTCCAAATGCGTTCCGCTGCTGCAGCCAAAGAGCTTTTGCCTGTCAAAACTTTCCCCTCCAGCCGCCAACAGCTGGAACGCAAAGACTAGCTCCCACTGGACTTTTTCGGAGTCAGTCTCACTCTTGCTACGGGGCGGCTATCAAAAAATAATTCTGCCGGTATAGAAAGCCCAAGGCAGCTAGCTCCTCTCCAATCTCAGAGCCCAGGTAACTCGACTTACGACTCTTCGTTTAGTGGCCATGAAAAGCTACCACAACATTGAAAAACAATTAACGTACAACCATTCCTCGCACGTGCGGCAGTTGCTACATCCCCCATGGCCGGGCGATCAAAAAAATTTCAGGCGCTTGGCAACTTGAAAAATGTTCGTAAGTCACTTTCCCCCCCACATCCTTTTGTAACTTTGAAGGGTCACAAAATGGAACTGTTGTAAGGCGAGGACAGACCTGTAATCAGGCCGCCTTGGTTGCTGCTAAAACCAGAATCACAGAGATGGAAGGGACCTTGGTGATCTTTCTAGTCCAACTCTCCCCCAGCTCAAACCGGCGAGACAATACCAATGGGAAGAGGTGAACCTGCCATTGGCTGCTGTCTCTTCGTTTCAACCCACTTCCTGAGGGATCCGTGCTAATGCGCAAGGAACTGAAAGCGGGGAATCCAGAGGGATCCGTTCTCCGAAAATCTGAGATCCTTTGCATTAATATCCTATCCAGAAAGGCCGCAGAGGGGGATTCTCGCAGTCTCGAGGAGAGGACGGCGAATCTCACGCTCGTTTTCCTGATTCCCTGGGCAAAAAAAAAATGATAATAATAGAAGTGCAAATGATCCTTTGGCTTCTCTCTCGGTTGCAATTCAGGAAACCGAGTTTGCTTTTCCCTCCCACTCAATAAATTAAAAAAACAAAAACACACACACACACTTTAAAAGCAAAACAAGAACAGAAGAAGGTACGGGCAGGGTTTTTTTGGGGTGTGTGTGTGTGTCGTTTCTTCCCTGCGTTTCCTCTCAACTGGGTTTTGCACTCAGGAACCTGCTTCACGCTGAGTGGTGACCCATCCCTTCTCGGGAGCAATATAGTCTTGGGATGAGACACACGGGAAGAGGTGGAACGATATCAGAAGTCCTGGAAAAGTTTTTTGCGACTTTTGTGATGTCCATTTTGGAGCAAATCTTCGGCGGCCGTGAGCAGCATGCAAAACGAGGGGAGGAGGAATAGAAAAAAACCCAAACAAACAGCTGGGCTATTTGTTTTTATCTTTTCTTTTCTGCGACGAAGAAGCGAAAGAGGCGTGATTCCCTGACGAAGGAGCAAGAGGCGGCTGAAAACTTTCCTGAGTGAGGTTTGGGGGGGTTCAAGCTAGCATCGAGGAATGGCGGCCGGTCTCTTCTCGAATACTGTCGTCCGTTTGCTTCAGTAACCTCCGGACCAATTTTTCCAAATCTTTCCTGGATTTCAGCTCTTCTTCCAGACATTGCTTCATTCGTTTGTTCTCCTGCAGAGGGGGAAGCGAGGGAAAAGGGACAGCCGTGTTTGCACATTATTAAAATGGTTTTCCTTCAGCAAATCTTATTTGGGGTACGGGCAGCCCTGACCTAACGACTGCAATGGAACTCCAAATTTCCATGGCGAAGCAAGGCAGTTGTTACAGGGGTGCAAATATTTTTACTACGGGTCCTGTGGGCGTGGCCATGTGACTGGGTGGGCGTGGCTTCTTCTTTTTTGGCGGCCCGCCCTCACTGCGCCCCTTTTTGCCTCCCGGGTCTCAGGGAAGCCTCAGCGAGGGAGATCACGACACAGCTGATCGTTGGAACAGCTGATTGTCAGGAGGAAAAAAAAAAGGAAAAAAATATTGGTTCGGCCGAACGAGTAGCTGTTTGTTTGTTTTTACTACCAGTTTGGCAGAACATTAGCATTTTTTTTTACTACCGGTTTGTCCAAAGTGGGCCGAACTGGTAGAATACCACCACTGAGTTGTTAGGGGTGTTTTGCCCTATTTGGACGCAATGAAATTTCATTTTAATGTATGCCGATTCGTCTACATTCCAAGTGACAATTGAGTTATTCTAAAACCAGTCTTCTTTCCAAAGAAACAACAACAAAACCCACCGGGAAGTCAGTAGGATTATGGAGCCCCCAGTTGAAATCAGCAATCTTTTGTTTTTTTTTGCAAAACTTTATAAAGGCTGCCCAGCCTGATGCAATTATTCTGGATTACCTGCTTCAGTTCTTTGACTTCGTCTTTTAGTGCGTAGACGGTGTCCACAAGACTCCTAGGAGACAGCAGAAAAAGGCAATAATAATAATAATAATAATAATATCCATCGGCCTGAGACACAAAATATTTCCTTCATTTTTTGCTTTTTTCATTTTTAGAGCTTCATACTGTGGTGATTTATTCTTTTAATGATTTTCATATTAGGTTTATGTTTCATTTTACAGCTTTCCCATTAAACTACCGGTGGTCCTTGACTTATGGCTGTCAACTAAAAAAATACTCCCTCGGTCTTTTTAGTCGCCAGCAGAAAGGGAGTGGGGGAAAGCAGTGCATTCCTTAAATGCCTCAGATAATCGCCTTGGCAGCCCAAAGCTGTCGGCACGCAAGATTATTATCGGAGAGCATGATTGATGACTCTTGGCTATGGATGTGTCCCGTTTGGGCTGGTTCGGTTGAACCGGATGTTAAATTTACAACTGGTTCACCAAGCCGGTAGTTGAATTGACCAGATGGCCCCGCCCACCCTGCCCCTCCCCTCCCAGGAGTCTCCACGTGGCTCATTTTGGATGCAGGTAAGTGCAGAGTCCACACGGGGGGAAAATGGCCCTTCTAGGAGTTCTGGTAGGCCACGCCCACCCAGCAACTGGGCAGAGAACCGGTGGTTGGGATGTTTGAATCCCACCCCTCCTACGAGGATGACACCATCTTGCCTACATGGGCTCCCGTGGTGTCTCTTGACAAGACGTTCAGATGGGTCACCTCGGCCATAGAAGACTTCTTCCTAAGAATCAAAACGTTGGGGTTCGTGGTTGGGTCATCAGCAGAAGACTCAACACAAGGGAAGGAAGCCCTCAAAGAAATCTCAGGGAGGAATGGAGATGGGAGAAGTTCCCCCGTGAGGTTTTGCTGCAGCTTTTTCCATAGGTTCGGCTCGTGGTCTCACTCACTTCTCCTCAGCCACAGTCTGCCCGTTACTCCGCACTTCCTCGATGATTAGTTTCTCCTCTTCCGGAAGTAGAACCTGGGGGACTGAATCTTTGCGGGACCCTGAGGACAAGAGAGGACAATTCAGGGAAGGGTTTCATTTGGGGCGCCGAGAGGTTGGGGTGCAATTTTGCCTCCATGAGGGTGAGGCCACTTTGGTTGAGTGGTGAAGGCACCAGACTGGGAGATGGTGAGTTCTAGTCTAGTTGTAGTATGAAAGGTGGCCGGGTGACTCTGGGCCAATCAACAGAAGATGGGGAGTTCTAGTCCCACATTTGGCACAAAAGATGGTTGGGTGACTTGGGTGACCTCCAGGAGATGGTGAGTTCTAGTCCCACTTTAGGCACAGAAGACTGTTGAATATCTTTGGGGCCAATAACCAGGAGACTGTGAGTTCTAGTCCTGCAATAGCATGAAAGCCGACTGGGTGACTTTGGGAGTTCTAGTCCCACCTCAGGCATCATAGAGGGCTGACTGACCTTGGGCCAATCGCCAGGAGACGGTGAGTTCTAATCCTGACTTAGCATGAGAACCAACTAGGTGACTTCGGGAGTTCTAGAACTCCATAAGTCTCACCTTAAGGCCTCATAGAGGGCTGACTGACCTTGGGCCAATTACCAGGAGACGGTGAATTCTAGCCCCACCTTAAAGCCCCAAAGCTAGTTGGGTGACTTTGAGCCAATCACCAGGAGACGGTGAATTCTAGTCCTGCCTTAGGACAGCTGAATGACTTTGGCTTAGCTCTTCTCTCTCAGCCCAAATCCACTTCACAGGACTGTTCTTGTGGGGGAAACAGGCGGAGGAAAGGACGTAGGATACGTTCCCAGCCTTGAGTTATTGTAAAAATAATAAAAACCGGGATAGAGCTAAGTTAAAAATTAAAATTAAATGTCACAGATAATCTACAACTCCAGAATACTCAATCCAGTTTTGGTCACCACGTTATAAAAAAGAGGTTGAAATGTTAGAAAGAGGGCAGAGAAGAGCAACCAGGATGATGAGGGGACTGGAGGCTAAAACATACGATGAACGGTTGCAGGAACTGGGCCTGGCTAGTCTAGGGAAGAGAAGGACCAGGGGAGACAGGAGAGCAGCCTTCCAATATTTGAGGGCAGGGGGTTGGACTAGATGACCTCCAAGATCCCTTCCAACTCTGTTAATCTGACTTTAATCTGATTCTAAGGGACAAAAGGATCAGGGGAGACAGGATAGCAGTCTTCCAATATTTGAGGGGCTGCCACAGAGAGGAGGAGGAAGGGGTCAAGTTGTTTTCCAAGGCACCCGAAGGCCAGACAAGGAATAACGGATGGAAACTGACCTAGGAGAGATTCAACCTAGAAATAAGGAGAAATTTTCTGACCGTGAGAACAATCAACCAATGTTGCCTTCAAAAGTTGTAGGAGCTTCATCCCTGGAGGCTTTCAAGAAGAGACTGGTCAGAAATGGTGGAGGTCTCCTGCTTGGGTGGGCGGGTTGATGACCTACAAGGCCCCTTCCAACTCTGTTAATCTGTTAAACTCCCCCAGGCTGAAGCTAAGCCCGAATCAACGCAGGAGAGCAGCCACCTCCCGTCCCCAAGTCACACTGATTTATTGCTAGTGCCAGCTCAGTGCCACCGACACGAGACGTGTTTCCATTCATGGCTTCAGAAGAAGCGAGAAAAAAAGAAAAGAAAAGAAAGATACATAGATTATATATATAGAAAACCACCAGGTAGCTTCGTTTCTTTTCTGAAATGCGCAGCAGATTGAACGATAAAATCCCCAGAAGCGACAAGTGTCTTGGGAGATTAGCATCTCGGGAGGCTGGGAGGGCCAGAAGAAACCAAAGTCAACAGCATCTCGTTGCAACTTCTCGTTGCGTTTCCTTCGCCTTCATCTCGCTATCTCCCAAGTCAGCTTTATTTCAAAGGTTCGACTCCTCCGCGTTGGGCTAGATGCATCTATTCCTTTTTGAAGGCAAAAAAAACCCCAGCTGGTCCTCGACTTATGGCTGCCGTCGGAGCCCAAGGTGGAGGTTGCCAAGGGAAACATTTGCTCAGCACATTTTGGCCCGTTTTTAACGGCTCTCGTTTCGCCCCATTTGCTAAGCGAATCTCTCGCGGTCATGAAAGGAGCGACAGGCATCGCTTAAGGGATCCGTCTTCCCCGTTAGACTTGTGTCATAAGTACGAGTCGGTTGCCAAGCGTCTGAATTTTGGTCAGGCGACTGCAGGGATTTTGCAAGGGTCATAAGTGTGAAACAGGGGTCATCAGTCCCTTTTTTTCAAGGGCGGTACAAACAGTCCCTAAATGAACTGTGGTAAATCGAGGACTACCAGAATTAGAAATGATCCCATGGGAGGTGGGTTTATATTCAACCTACAAAAAACCTCTTTTTTTCCCCCCGGGATGTTAATTTTTTTTGGGGGGGGGGAATTAATTAACGTTTGATCCAAGACACAGCGAGGAAAAAACAAACAAACCCATGAGAAACCTGGTTGGGCTTCCAACGGCTTACCTGAAGCGACGTTCTGCTGTAGACTCGCCCCTGCGCAGTACGCCTCAATCACCTTCAGGATCTGAGCGTCTTCCTCTAAGGCAACTGTACCTGAAAAGCAAAGGCATGTCAGAGGTGGCACGCAGAGTCCTCCCGCTCGTCAGCCGGTCCTTTGGGTCTCTGCCATGAATGCGCGGGATGGGGAGGTCACTCATGCATGTGTGGGTGCAGGGTGCATGCACAGGTGCGCGCACAAGTTGCATTTTGGGGATGCCTCTGCCTTTCCTGGGAGACAATTTTGCCTCTCCTCCTTCAGTAAAGATGTGCAACTTCATAAAACAGTAGGGAAAGAGAATGTCGTTTTTAACCAATGAATAAAGATCAGCGTGTTCTACCTCACAGCAGACTCCAGAAAATCTATCCTAGACAGCAATTACGCAGCCAACGTACTTTTTCTAATAACAAACTCCTCATCCGATGCCTTCCTCTCTGTTTTTCTTTTGGGCAGGAACTTTTTCATCGTCTTTGGGCTCTTACTGGCATCCTGTCAAGATAGAACAATTGATTGGGATTATATCCTGGGTGGAAAAAAATCATCTCCACTCATGAGGCATCTAAGTTTCCGTTGATTAACCAAGGACTGAACTCAAATAGTTGTGAGTTTGCAGAGTAAATACCCGAGGGTCGAGCGATTGTATTGATAGGTGGCCTGTTTGAGCACATGACACAAAGACAACGATTGGGCTAATCTGGTAGCCATAAATTGTGTTGGCCCACGACTCTCAATGTCCTTCTTCTTCTGAGCCATTGGCCCAGCTACCAACAATAGCGATGTTGCACCTTTTTCATGTGAGGCAATGGACAATTGACCGTCCCATAAATGCCATGCCTTGAAGTCCAGCATGGAAGTTCTAGCAAGGAAATATCTGTGAAAGGATTTAGAGCCGTTGAGGAGAGATTTAGATGAGAGCGTTCTGATCCAGATCCCCAAACACGACAAACCCTCTAATTTAAATCAATGATTCCTTCATTAGGAACGCTAGAACCTGGCATAAAGTTTCTCTCTCAGTGCAGGCTAACAAGTCTGTATGGCAGGGACATGAATAGTTATCTGCCACATCTATTCATCTTGCCTTTTATCCCTTATAGCTCGGGTGGGGCTTCGCTAGCAGCGGAGGCTCTTCCATCCCAAGGACCAGCCCATAGATTTCCACTGCTCTCCTCTCCTCTGCTTTCTGCACATCCAAACGTCAGGCACTGGACCCAGCTGTTCTTCCTCTTCCTCATTAGCCACCTCCAGATCCAGGGGCTTTGGATTCCCCATCTAAGGGCTGACGGATGGCTCTCTCTCTCTCTCTCTCTCTCCCTCTCCCTCTCTCTCTCTCTCCGAGTTCATTCCCTCTTCCCTCTCGGAGTTCTCAGGTTGTCTTCATGTTGACCCTGACTTCCACTCCTCCTCCTCCTCCTCCTCCTCCTCCTCCTCCACCTCGGCTGCTGTAAGGGCCGGTGGCTGAAGGCCACAACAGAGATCTTACTGTACGCATTCCAGAGATAGAAAGACAATTGAGAAAGAAAATCCAAGTAACTGAGCCTTGATGTTGTTTTAGTATAAAACAGGACAAAGAGAGAAACTGGGACAGACTTCAAAGATCAGATCAAGAAAGAGACGTTGTAAGAATTCTAGGAAACCCTCTGTATCCATTCATTCAACCCTCTGTATCTATGAATACAGGTGAAATTTCAGAAATCTTGAAAGCCTGTCCCAGTTTTTCTCTGTCCCATTTTAGGGTTTAAAAAAATATGTATCGAGGGGGCTGGTTTTGAGTTTCTCAAACTTCCTTCCACTTCTAGACTTGGTAATCTCTTCTCCAACGGCCTGCTCCTACCTCCTGCAAACCCTCCCTAAACACCTTTATAGAATGCCTACACCCCACCCCCATAAACCATGGTGAATTGTTCCAGCTCCAGTGCTATCGTTGCACAAATAAATAAACCCTGAGTCAGAGGCTGCCTTAAAGCACATCTCTGTTTCACTGCTGAGGAAATGTGCAGGCAACCAGATTGCACAAACAAACAGCCGTGAGATGAGCTTTGGGAAAATATGACCTCAAACCCTGCACAGAAACTTGTCACTGGGGGAAAAACCCCGCTGGTGCATTAAAACCCTTGGTACGCTGCAAGAGAACAGGTCGTGGAGAGGTTTTTCGCCGCCTTACCTTTAAGATGTAGGACATCCGCTGGGAAGGAGCATGAAAGAAAGAAAAGACAAGCATGAAAAGTTGAGCATGGCCATCAAAGCTACCGCCACAAAGAATGCACTTTCAAACTTATAGATGTTCCCAAACAAAATAAATCACGGGCTACTTAGGGTTTAGTCTCCTCTAGCTCTTGAACCCAAAAACGAATCTTGTAACTCTATACCGGTAGTCCTCAACTTACAACCACAATTGAGCCCCAAATTTCTGTGGTTAAGTGAGTTTTGCCCTGTTTTATGGCCGTTCTTGCTACGGGGTTAAACAAATCACTGCAGTTGTTCAATTAGTAACCCAGTTGTTTAAGTGGATCTGGTTTCCTCCATCGACTTTGCTGGTTGCAAAAGAGGGATTGCATGGCCCTGGGATACGGCAACGGTCATAAATCGGAACCAGTTGCCGAGCATCTGAATTTTTGACCGCGTGACCATGGGGATGTGATAACAGTCACATCACTTTTTTTCAGTGTCGTTGTACCTTAGCTTGGAACGGTCACTAAGCGAACTATTGTAAGTTGAAGAGTGCCGGTATTGTTCTGTGCGAGGCAGTGGGTTGGGGCAGGGATGGGATTCTACCGATTCGGACCGGTTCAGGCGAACCCCTTGCGCCCAAGATCAGCTGGCAGAGAACTGGTTTCTTTAGAGCACAGCTGATTCACACAGCAGAGTGGTCTGGCGTGCCTCAGCGGTTTTATTCACTGGGTGTCCTGCCCCGTTGGAGTCTGAATCAGAGGAGGAAGACGAACAGTTGACAGGGAGCGGGAGTGTGGCTCCGTTGGCTGTGGAGGAAACTGGGGAAGGGCAAAGTCCATCTGGGCAGAGCAGGGGAGAGGTAGAATGAGGGAGAAGGAGTTCGGAGGAAGACCCAGGCCCACCCCCTCTTCATCCTAGGGCACACAGGGAAGAACGGAGAAGGGAGCAACATGGGTTGCGTGGCTTACGGGGGAGGAAAGGGCCCTGATTCCCTTCATTAGCTGCAGCTGGGAAGACCGTTTCAAAGAGATGTATGCTGAGTGCAGCAGCTACTGGGAACAAACGTGAGTTTATCTTATATTGACTTTGCTTATCTGCGTTGCTGGAGTCTTCCCAACCGTGTTGAATTACTGCCATTCCTTCATATCTGGAATTCCTTCTTTTGCCCCGCCAGACTAATTACCTCATTTTGCATTGATTGGACTTAGAGTTTTTGTTGACCACGTTTTGGACTTGATTCTCTGCAGCCCAAGGCTGTTCCTGGGAGAGTTTTTCTCCAGCCCAGAAGGTAACCAGGACATGGGGGACAAAGTTGGAGCTAATAAAGGGACTCCTATTGATTATCTGACTGCGTGGCCTTTGTGCCACGCCCCTTTGGGTCATCACATTGGGACTGCCGTAGAAGGTAAGTATTAGAGCTTTTCTAAATGTGGAGCGCGTGCGTGGAGTGTGTGTTTGGTGCACTCGCGCATTATCACCAAACCGGTTATTATACCGATGGAATCTCACCCCTAGGATGGGGGTCTCCTATTTGAAGAACCCCTTCTTCCTGTTTCCTCATCGTAACAGGAGAAGAGGAAAGGTAAGATAACTAATTCAAGTTTTGTCATCTTGATGATCAGAATCTGCCTCTTACCCACGTGGGTCTTTTGTGGGGAGCAGTGAGTCTGGGATCCCTTCCCCCCAAAATGTCAGATTTGTAAACTGTACTTCAGGATCTTTCTGGGAAGGTCTCATTTCTTATAACCATCCTGCCTAACCTAACATTGAAGCGACTTTCAGAGATGGAGTTCCAACGTTCTTCGCGTTGACTTCCTTCAGAGACGACCTTCTTGAGAAGGTCATCTTCAGAAATCCACGGAGGACCAGAACTAAAATAGTTTGAGTTGAGTACGAGAAATGCTAGTAGGGTGGTGGAATCAAGGTATTTCCCCCTCCTATGATAAGCATCAGGTGAAAAGAAGGGGCCCAAAACTGTGATACCAGAGAAGTAAATCTCATCTTGATTTGATTTGTGCAGAAAAATGAGTCACAAAAGCAAAACATAAAAATAAAATGGGTGGTTTTGTTTAAAATTACGGAGTTCGGGGTGTGTGCGATACAAGTTTCCTCACTGATGCAAGTAACTGCTCACCCCCGTTTCCTGTGGGCCTAACATTTGCATAGTGTTATGTTTTGACAAGGCAGGGATTGATGACAATTCAATGGAAGAAGAGAAGAATGGGCTGGCTCCGTAATAAATCTAGCTTCCCGGAGCACAAATTTTAAAAGCAATTTTACTGATAGGGGTCCCAGTTTCTGTGGGATTTAAGGGGAAAAAAAACAGGTCAAAAGATGGTGATGAAAGATTGGAAACTGGAGGTTCAAATGAGCAAAATTGCAGCGTTGAGGGACTGAAAAAGGAAGCTTGGATGGAGTTGGGAATTAGCAGCGTGCTTGAAAAATCTTTCTCCCCTACAACTCTAGGACAGAAACGAATCTTTATTTAACTTCTGACTTCTTTTTCCCCCAGAAAATAAAACACGAGGAAATAAATTCTCCAAACTCAGCAGAATTAATTCTGTTAATTCCTAATTCGATGCAGAATTAATTCTTAAGCCTTTCAATTAAACAGGACAATTCATTTGCCAAACAATCTGCCGGATTTATTTCTAAATGAGTACGTGTTTGGTTGGAAGGAGAGAAAGATCTCAATGATGGAATGAACTAGGTTTCTTCGGGCAGGGAACACCAAAGCTTGCAAGCTAAGTGGAGGCTAAAACATAGGAGGAACAGTTGCAGGAGCTGGAAATGTCTAGTCTGATGAAAAGAAGGACCAGCGGGGACATGATAGCAGAGTCTTCCAATATCTCAGGGGCTGCCCCAAAGAAGAGGCAGTCAAGCTATTCTCCAAAGCAAATGAGGGCAGGACAAAAAGCGATGGCTGGAAACTGAACAAGGAGAGAAGCAACCTAGAACTAAGGAGAAATTCCCTGAGAGTGAGAACAATTAACCAGTGGAACAACTTGCCTCCAGAAGCTGTGGATGCTCCAACACTGGAAGTTTTGAAGAAGAGATTGGACAATCATTTGTCTGAGGTGGTGTAGGGTTTCCTGCCTAAGCAGGGGGTTGGAGTAGATGACCTCCAAAGTCCCTTCCAACTCTGTTATTCTTCTATTCTATTCTATTCTATTCTATTCTATTCTATTCCATTCCATTCTACTCCACTCCATATATTCTACTCTACTCTACTCTACTCTACTCTACTCTACTCTACTCTACTCTACTCTACTCTACTCTACTCCACTCCACTCCACTCCACTCCACTCCACTCCACTCCACTCCACTCCACTCCATTCCATTTTATTCTAAGTCCAACTTCCTAAATTCCACCCAACTGGGTGGGAATTTGTGGCTCTCCATGACTACGTTTTCCTGCTGCTCAACCTAGAATGTGTCGTCACAGAATTAAGGACCATGACCTCAAATTGCCATGAGGAAACCCAAGAAAGACACTCATGCAAAGGTCACACAACATTACCTCTTTATAGCTGAGGGCCACCGATGGCTTGAGAGGAGGTGCTGGGCGAAGGCAACTCAAGGTCCAAGGTTTGAGGATCTGGGGTGGTTCCAGTGGGCCACGGCACTGTCCAGTAGAGCTAAAAGTCTGTTTTTTTTTAAAAAAAGAACAGTTTACTGAGTCCTTGCTTTCAACCTACCTGATCACCTCAAAGCTCCCCAACATGGACCTCGTCCCTTAGAACAGGTGAGGAACATTCAGCTTGTGGTTTTCAGGTAGCCGTTAGAAACCCACTGGTGGCCTCCCATCACCTTTGGATCAAACCACAGCAAAAGGACACAAAACATTCTAATTTTTTTCCCCTCTCAAGTGATGGTTTGGAATGGGAGGAGGAGGAGGAGGACCTGGGAGTGATCCAGCTGGAAAAGGAGTGAATTGTGTGGCCCTAACCCTAGACAGATGGTTGGGTCCAGAGGTGGGATTCAGCTGGTTCTGATCAGTTCTGGACAACCGGTAGAGGAAACTTTGAGTAGTTCGAAGAACCAGCCAATCCCACCTCTGACTGGCCCCGCCCCCATCTATTCTCTGCCTCCCATTGAGTCCCAGCTGATCGGCTGGGTCTTCTTTGGTTGCCCTGCACAGGAGAACGGAGCTGGAAAGCAGGTTAGTGGGGTGGGGAATGGGGATTTTACAGCATCCTTCCCCTGAAGTGGGGAGGGAATGGGGATTTTGCAGTAATCTTCCCTTGCCACGCCCGCCAAGACATGCCACACCTACAGAACCGGTAGTAAAAAAATTTGAACCCCACGACTGGTTGGGCCCCCTTGAAAGAAAGGGGAAAAAAAGGGGGAAACGGGACATTTTTTTTCTTCTTCTATGGTGCCCTAAGATTAGGGTCAAGGTAAATTTGGACATGACCTGCAGGAAAGAAGTTTCCCCATTTCCTTGGAATCTCAGCTTGACTTAGTTGGGGAGCTACTCACCGAATGGGAGCCCCAAGACTGGGTCTTCGAGAGGGTACCGCTGAAAGTGGTTCCTCTGGTCAGCCGTTGGAGGTGGTCAAGCCATTCGTGCAAATCTTGGCTGCTATTGCAGTGAACCGTGAGCCGGTCTCCCATGCTCCCTGCGAGACGGAGAACAAACCCAAACCATCATTCGATCGAAGGCTGGCTCGGACCGTGGGGCACCAAGAAGGGCAAAATGGAACTAACGCAGATACCGGTGGGCTTCCTGGAAGGAGGTCAGGCCTGGGCTACTGGGGGTTCGCAGGGGTTCAGGAGATTCTGTGCAGTTTGGAGAACCCACAAATCCTATTCGTGGCTGGCCCTGCCCACCCCACCCAGGGGTGGGATTCTAGCAGTTCACACCTATTCGCTAGAACCGGTTGTTAACATTCTAAGCAGTTCGGAGAACCGGTTGTTGGAAGAAATTACTGGGCTAATCCTGTAAGGAAGGCAGGAAGGAAACATTCTGGTGTTGCTTACAGAAACTGCCTCTCCGTTAACCCCTATTACATTCTTGGCAGGACTAGACTTCCTGTCTCAAGAACTTCTCTGGAGCTTTTTTCCGCTCCTTTGCTAGTACTTTGCTTGTGTGGAGTCACCAAAGTTACAATGGCACTGAAAAAAGTGACTTATGACCATTTTTCACACTTATGACTGTTGCAGCATCCCCACAGTCAAGAAAGGCCAGGGGAGGAGAAGTGTGCCTCGATGTGAGTGATGTTGAGTTGGCCCTGCCCAGCCAATAACATGACCACCAAACCATGTCCACCCAGTCACATGACCACCAAGCCACGCCCACCACCTAAGCCACGCCCACAGAACCGGTTGTTAAAAATTTGAATCTCACTCCTGACCCCACCTCTCCCCAGAGTCCCCTCGTGGCCCGTTTTGGAAGCAGGTAAGCGCGGGGTGCCCGTGGAAGCTCAAAGAGGGTGAAAAACGGGCCTCCTGCAAGTTTGGGAAGGCCGGAAATGGGCCCGTTTCTGGTTTCCAAAGAGCCTCCGGAGCCTGGGAAGTCCGTTGCTAAAATTTTTGAAGCCTGCCCCTGAATGAGATTACACATCACCGATCTTCGAACGTTCCAGACGGTTTAGATTTTATTTCGTATGGGATTTGTTTTACCAATGGATAGAAAACAGAATAAACTAAAAGGGATTAGACGTACATATAAAGAGGAATTAATACAATAGATATATTAGATTACACTTATATTATATATATGGGAATGCTATGATTGTTACATTGTTAAGATGAATAAGAAGAATATTATTAATAATGGATAAGTAATTTGAAATATGTACCTAATCGATACGTTATTGAAATCGAATTGATTTTTTTAATATAAAATAAATAAATATGTATAAAAAAAGTTAATCTAAGAAGACTATCGCCAGCGTCCAACGACAGGTATGATACAACAAGAAGAATCTAAGAGCACTGACCTGAGATTTCAAAAGTATGGTCATTTCCTTCCAGATCTGATTTGGTCACCAGCATTCCTATTAAAGAGAGTCTCCCCTGTTCCCCCAGAAGGAAGGGGAAAAAAATATGATATGAAAATTATTCAGAGCAATCTTGATCAATCCGAAAATGACGGACCGACCAGCCTATTAAAAATCAAATCAAATCATGATTTGTAGCTTCAACCTGCCCCATACCCCAGACTAGAAATTGCAATGGAAAAAGTCTCCTTTTCTTGATTTCAGATGGGGATATTTTCATGGTTGGGGGGAGAATCATCTCTGCTTCTCCCCCCAAAAAACACCCCAAAACCCACCACCTTAATTCTTGCCGTTTCTACGTGCAACCCGCTCACCTTGTACATGAATCCACTCATACAAGGACTGGCTGAGAGCACCAGCAGAACGCTTGGAAACAGCATGAGGTATCTTTCTTCTTTCTCCTGGGATAAAGGAAGAGAGAGGCACCACGGATGAACAATTGTGGAAAGCCGCATTTCTGCAATCCGCCCCCCCATCGCTCGATGTGTGGTGGTTCGCTGGCAGCCTGGGCAGACGGTAGTGGAATGAGACAGTGGGGAAGAACGGGGACCAGCCAGGGAGCCTGGAGAGGATTCAGATGGGGGTCCTGGGTCTGATGCAGAGATGGGGCCAGGACCATCTGGGAGTGGGGTGCTGCCTCTGGAGCCTCTGGAGTGTGGCAGCAGCAAGGCAGAGGAACAAGGGGAGCCTGGTCCTAGTGCGCGTGTGCACAGAGCTGCTAGAAGGCGAGAGCAGCTAAGACAAAAGGGGCCACTCGGGAGTAAGGCTGCCCCTCCCATAAGGGATAAAGGACAGGCAAAGGTGAAGAAACCTTTGCAGGAAGCAAAGTCGTTTGTTCGGTTCAGATTCATTCTTGAACCTCTTTGTACTTCAGTTAGTTTTTTTTTTCTAGTTCATTTGATACCTCTGTTATTGGCAGCTCTTCACAGGAAAGAAAGGTGGGTGCTTATTTTGAGGGACTGTTTTACTGGCTGGAAATGAAAATAATTCCCAGTGTTGCAATAAAATAAGACTTGTTTTTAAAATAAGCGTGTGTGTAATTACGGTCTAGGAAGCCTTGATCAGAACATGATGCTCGTTACATCACAATGTGTGTGATAACCATGACTGGAAACCTCTTCAGATAGAGCTTCTGTAGGCCCCACATTGGTTGAACCAAGAAGAGACAATGGAATACCGAGAAGAAGAAAAAAACCATCGTGGTTCACCCTGTTCTCACCTCATTCCCTCCATATTGGACCATGGCTTGGGACATATAAAGGACGCTGCCCATGGATCGGATGTCTTCTCCTTCCCAACCTTGGATGGTTTCTGAAAGGATCTGCAGTTCCAGTTGCTTCCTCTTTCTCATCTCTTGGCACTGGGTCTGGGTTACAAGGAGGATCATAGATAAGACCAAGTTGTTTGCGTACTGGAGAAAGGACTGCTGTGTTGGGGCATATAAGGCGATGAATCATCATCTTCTTTTAATGACCCCTTCCTGTTGCCAATGTGGAGTTTCATTCAACAGATCTATTCTCATTGTGCCCAGAGAGAGAAATATCTGCCTCTACATGCATAAATCTGCATATGGTACTTACAACCCATTGCTCCCCACATGTATGACCACCACAAAAATCCCCAAGGTCCACCTGATCAAAATTTGGATGCTTGGCAAATAGTGTAGGTATTTGTGACAGTCCAGGGGTCAAATCATTGTCCTTTGCAACCTTCCGACAATGCTTCCAACAGGCAAAGTCAATGGAAGATGCTGGATTTGTGGAATAGCATAGTTGTTGTTAACAACTATGGCAAAATGGTAATTCAGTTGGGCTGGACTCACTTAACAAGCGCCTTGCTTATCAACAAAAATGCTGGTTCCAACGGTGGTCAAGGACTACCTGGAGATGCATTCGAATCTTATTTCAGATCTCTGCTATAATTTCCATTTCAGATCATCCGATCCCGGATGCTCTCAAGTCAAGAGCTACAGCTTCCTCAATTCTTAATCCTGCTTTCACAAATGTTTTTTCCCTCCCTCCTTCCTTGGCCTCTCCCATCCAAAAATGTTGCCCCTTTTCTGAGGAGAAAAAAATTGCGGATCTTTGTACCTTTGGCCTTACAAGGAAAACAACAGGAAATAAAATAAAACCACTTTCTCCAAATCAAAAAATAAAAATAAATCACACTTGGAACCTTGCTTTGGACAACAGCGCCCCCTTGAGGGCTATTCAACAGCTGCTCAGAAACCTACCACAAGAGACCGGAAGGATCCTATAGCTTTCAAAATGTCTTCATGATCAGGATGTGCCTCCTATGGGAGGAAAAGTGGACAAATCAGACGAAGAGAAACTGTTTTCCCCCTTCCCAAAATACTAGAACCAGAGGGGAGGGTGGTTAGAAAGATGTGAGGTACAGAGATAAAAAAATGGCTCATCAGTTTTAGGAAACGGTGAGAAGGAAGAACGTCCTTCAGATGCAGAACAAGATGTTCTCCAAGAACTCTGCCTATTGTGATCAAGGATGGTTCCCCTGTTTGTATAGGTAGCATGAAATGAAGGAAATACATTTTTCTCTCTTTTATTAAAGTGGGGAAACATCTGGATTAGAAGCTTGGTTCTTGCTCCCTTTGGACCACCACAAGAGTTGGGCAAACCATCGATTTGCCAGGGGTCCAAGAGGGGTCTAGAGAAAGAGGCTTCTTCCAAGAGCTCGCCTATTAGGATGTCAACCCAGGAGGACCCCAGAGAATCATGGGGAAAAGCCGGAGGTGGGATCCAAGAGGGTTAACTACCAGTTCGGTCATTTACGAGGTTTGGTGATTGACGATGTGCTTCCCTGCATGCTGCCGGCACGTACCTGTAAATCGTCATCAGCCTGCTGCATGCAGAGAAGCAGCCTTTCAAAAAGCCCCTTTTTCCTGATTTTTAAACTGCAGCTGTGCCTCGCAAGGCAGCTGAAGTTGAAAAAAAAAATCAAGAAATAAAGGTCAGGTAAGAGCCCCGGTGGGCAAAAACATCAGCAGACATAGAACCGGTTCTATGTCTGCTGCTCTTCAGAGCTACCGGTTCTACAGAGGTGGACAGAACTGGTAGAATCCCACCCCTGGGAAAAGCCAAACACAACCCTGACAAGAGGAGTCTGTCACCGAACAATGATGGAACCAACCAATAGGGATGACTGGTCTTTCATCAAAGCTCACCTCCATGTGCCTCTCAAGTTCCTGCAGAAGGGCAATGTACTTGTCCAGCCGTGTGAACGGTTTGCTGAGACTCGTGGTCAAGGTCAGTATCCCAATATCCATCCCTTGGTTCTCCATGAACTTCTCCAGTTCATCGCTGGAAGAGAAGCATCCATGATGATAGAGAAGCAGACCAGCCCACTGGGCACGCCTGATCTTTCCCCAGGGCAAGGGTTTGGTGCATCCTTATTTTTACCTGTGGTGGGTCAAGACGTTGACCGCAGATGGGTGGTTAGTGCAGTAAGTGAGGTACAGAGACGCAAATTGGGGCATCAGGCTTAGGAAGCAGCCTCCCACTCTTTGCTGGTGTTCGGGAAGTCTGCAAGAGACACACGCCGGTCAAAGATGGAAGAAATTGAAGCTGTTGGTTGGCATTTCCAATGGTTATCTTCATCTGAGCCAAGAGGAGCAGAGACCGAGGGAAAATAACTTTCCTGCCAACGTTTATTTATAGAGATGTATAGTCTGTCCCAATTTGTATTTGACTTACGAGAGTTCCTTTACTGACTGTTTGAAGTTACCACGGCACTGGAAAAAAAGGGACTTACAACCATTGCTACATCTCCGTGGTCACATGATCAAAATTCAAACAGTTGACTACTGACTCATAGTTATGATGGTTGCAATGTCCCAGAAGCAGGGGTGGGATTGAATTTTTTTTACTACTGATTCTTGTGGACGTGGCTTGGTGGGCCTGGCATGGCTTGGTGGGTGTGGCAGGGGAAGGTTATTGCAAAATCCCCATTCCCTCCCCACTCCGCTAACCTGCTTTCCAGCTCCGTTCTCCTGTGCAGGGCAACCAAAGAAGACCCAGCCAATCAGCTGGGACTCAGTGGGAGGAAGAGAATAGATGGGGGCGGGGCCAGTCAGAGATGGCATTTGCCGGTTCTCCGAACTACTCAAAATTTCCGCTACTGGTTCTCCAGAACTGGTCAGAACCGGCTGAATACCACCTCTGCCCAGAAGGTCACCTTCAGTGACCTTCAGCAAATGCAGTGATTCGCTTAACAGCTGGCAAAGAAGGCCATAAAATAGGGCAAAACACCCTTAAGAGTTTTAGCAACAGAAATTTTTAGCCTCGGTTGTGGTTGTAAATTGGGGACTATCTGGACAGCTTACAAAATGCAACACCAAAACAACACAGAACTTTTTATCCAAAGCAGAGTCTGGAGAACATCCATGAAATAACTTAAAGGTCTCAGGCTGCTACCTGGAGCCTCCTTCTGCCATACCCTCCAAGGAGAAGATCTTAAACAAGAAAACTTTCCATGGAGAAACGCATTCACGACTTACCTAGCACATTCTTCCAGCGTCTGGTTGAGCGTCTGTTGAAAGTTGCAGATCTCCTCCACATTTCCAAGTAGAGAGGCAATGTCCGTAGGGCTCAGCCTAGAAATAAACATATCATAGAAAGATGGGGAAAGGAATCTTGGCTTAAGAAACCTTGTGGAAGGTTGAATGTTTACAGAGATTTTCAGTCATCCAGGTCATGGTTGTCCCAAAGGTGCTTTTTCAAGAGGCAACTGGACTTTCTGGTTATACTTTGAAGACCTTTCGCTTCTCATCCAGGAAGCTTCTTCAGCTCTGAGAGAAGGTGAAGAAGCTTCTGAGGGAAGCTGAGGAAGCTTCTTGGATAAGAAGTGAAATGTCTTCAAAGAAAAACCAGAAAGTCCAGTTGCATCTTGAAAAAGCGCCTTTGGGTCACGTTGAAGGTTGAATATGGTCTTCATCCCATTGTAACAACCACTCTTATGTTCTTATCACAAACAATCTATTCCTTAGTTGTCCCAACTACTATTATGCCCTTGAGTGTGGCTCTTTCCTTAGAGAAGCAAAGCAAAAGACCAACCCCATCAATTAAAAAAGCATTCAAAACTGCCAGTATCCAAAGACTGGACTGTAGAGTTAGAAGTCATCAATGATGATTTGAGAAGTTGCATCTGTCCTCCTTCCCCATCAGTGGAGATCATCTCAAACAATCTTACTTACTTGTCATAAGACTGGAGAGACTTCAAGTACGTTCCTAGAAGGGACTGTAGCTCCTTGGCATACTCTCGCTCCGTTTCCAAAATATTTTGAAGTACCTGAAGCAGGTGAAGATAAGCAGGAGATATAAAGGATGTTGGGAGCGATCCAAATACATCTTGCCTATGAATGATGGCATCCGTAAACACACTGTAGTTTATCAACATGGCTAGGCTTGCAAGTATGAAATTCCTCTCGTCACGTGTCTACAGACATAGTGCCAAAAATAAAGCCTCCCTCGAGTCAGCTCAGCTGCTGGTGACTTCATATAAATATCCGTACAGTTTCTTGGCAACAGTTAGAAGTAGTTGATCATCTCATGCTTTCAAGATATGGTTTTCAACAACTCTCAGTTTTGCTGTCTTGCCTCTCCTATTCAAGCATGGACCATACCCAACTTTGGTTGGGCTTAGCTCTTTGAACAAAAAGTTGAGTTGAGATCAACTTTTGCTGTTTATGTTGTTTTCTGGGCAACCATATTGTTGCTTTCCAGGATATTTATGGACAGGAGAAATATTAAAATGTTGGTGGTTGGAAAATACTGATAAAGAGTGACTCCCCAGGCCTCATGTTTGATAGCCCTGAGGGCTTTCTGTGTTCCAGGTTTAATCACTGGAATCGGTCAGAGAAATACGGATTTCCCCATAACCCTGTCCTTCAAGAATGTTATCTACCCCAGAAGAATGCCATTGCAATTCTCTTTTCCTTTGGAAGAAAATTTGAAAGCTACTTATCTCTTCTACCAAAGCAAATAAGACCTAGCCAAAAACGCACAAAAAAGGCAGGAAAATTATTTGGCCTATCATGATTAAAAATGGCAGAAGAGTTGACTTTTCTTCTGCCCACCCCCGGACAAAAAAGATCAAAAAAATCTAGAATGTTAAGATCGCAAGAGGGAACTTTTCTTGAGAATATTTTGTTTTCCTCCTTGCTAATAATAAGTCCTTTCCTAACAACACCCTGCAGGAAGGCATTCAACCTCTGACATCACTGCTGGCGCAAACATCCACATGCCAGGGATCTAACTTCAAAGAAGGAAGTCCTGGGGATAAAACAGGAATCTCTTCTCCATTTTCTATCGAAAGTGGACTATCTACCCTCCCAATGGGATTCAACCAGTGGTGGTATTCAGCTGGTTCACACCGGTTCACAAGAACCGGTAGCAAGGATTTGGTGTGATTTGGTAGTAAGTTCTAGCTGGTCACGCCCCCAACCTGGTCACCCGGTCGCCATTGACTCGCTTGTCCCGCCCACCTGCTGCTCGCTCACCCTGCCCGCCTGACGCTTGCCTCTTAAGGTATTTATTTATTTTTTCCCCCTTCCGACAATCAGCTGTTCATACGATCAGCTGGGCTGGGATTCCCCCTAGCTTTTCTTACTGCTTTGCCCAGAAGAATTCCCTGAGACCCAGGAAGGCAAAACATGGAGGGAGGGGCACAGCTCTCGCTCTCTATTTTTTTGTCTTCCTGAGCCCCAGGGGAGCCACCTGGGAGGAAAAGCTCCCCCCAGAAGCTCCCCTGAGGCCCAGAACGCCCCCCTCAAAAGTCAAGCTCACCCGGTCACATGGCAACACCCACCAAGCCATGCCCACCTAGCCACACCCACAGAACCAGTAGTAAAAAGTTTTGAGCCCCACCACTGGAATCAACACTAGAAGAGACACTTCTTGGAAAGGCCAATGCGTGTCCATGTTCTGGCTCTCAACTGCAACATGGCTTCAATAAACTAAAAAGCTTTTTTGTTTAGTTTATTGAAGTCATGTTGCGGGAGACTCGGCTATGATGGTGAAAAAAGGTAGCTTCTTCCTTAGCTTAGAAAACTGAAATGGAGAAGACATGCCCAGTATCCAGACAATTAGCATAACCATATCTTATAGTTCCATTGCTCAACATGTGTTTAACTTAAGCGTGGCTTGATTTTTTTATGACCTTGTGTGATGTTGCAGTTTTTCTTTAATAGGATAGATTTACGGGCATCTTTCCGGAGAATAAAATTCGGGAATAGTAGAGACTCCACAGGCTTACCACAGCATAGTAATTCTTGGTAAGTTGAGGACCTTCACCCGCTTTCAAAGCCTTAGGAGAGAGCAGTTTATCTGGAGGAGAAACAGGAGGAAGGGTTATAGAGAAGTGATGTTTCCGGAAGAGGAAGTAGAGGGCACAACACAAGCCAACATCCTACAGGTGTGAAACGGTAGTGGTGGAGCCTCCGAACAGGTATGAAGAACGTCCACTTGCCTGGAGCAACCTTCCTTAACCTGGGGTGCTGAACCACAACTAATTTTCTCACTCCAAATGAGCATGAAGTATGGATCTGGAAGTGGTGGGTAGCATCAACTACTCTAGAGGCAGGTAGGCACAAGTGATAATCTTGGCATTGGTGCCTCAACTGGAACTGAGCTTAGATATTCTACTTATTTGACCAAGCAGTGCTCTTCCTTCCTGCCTGCCTGCCTGCCTCTTCCTTCCTTCCTTCCTTCCTTCCTTCCTTCCTTCCTTCCTTCCTTCCCTTGATCATCTCTTTTCACTGCTGTTGTTGTTTCCTCCATTACTGCTACAAATCCTGGCTTCGCTGGAGAAACCCTGAGCGTTTCAGTTTGGAACCCCACTTTTCCAGGGTTCCCTGGCCCTGGGGAAATATCAGCCTTGGCTTTGAAACCTATTATGAGCAAAGCATGTTATGCCAGGGCATAGTGAAGACACCCCGCCCAGTCACTGGCTTCCCTGAAATGGCCATGCTAGCCCTTGAAGAGTTGCGAAAGGTCTCCACCGATTTCTAGCAAGCTCTGGAGACATGACTCCCACAGGTGAGGAGGAGGACCAAGAACTCTTCATGTCCCAACCCCAGGAGACGTGACCGTGGAACCAATGAGCCCCTTCCTGGAGACAGAGCTCAGTTTCAGAGAAAGAGGAGGAGGAGGAGGAGAAGGAGAAGACAGGAAGGAGAAATAAAAAATGAAAGAAAAGAAGAAGATAGGAAAGAGAAAGAAAAGGAAAAAGAAGAGGAGGAGAAAGAAGAGGAGGAGGAGAAGGAAGAGGAGAAGATAGGAAAGAGACAGAAAGGGGGAAAGACATAAGACATAAGAATTAATTTGTCATTACACTCGCAAGCGGGTGCAACGAAATGAGGTGCTCTTCCACAAGTAAAACTGGAAAAGAAAAGAAAAGAAAACTGGAAAGAAGAGGATGAGGAGAAGGAAAATAAGAAGATAGGAAGGAGAGAAAGAAAAAGAGAAAGAAAAGGAGGAAGAGGAGGAGAAGGAGAAACGAAAGGAGAAGGAGTAAGGGGAGGAGGAGGCTAAAGTGGAGAAGGAGAAGGTTTTTCTTCACAAACGCAGAAAGAATCAAGAGAGCATAAAGCTACCTATGGAAACCACACTACGTTATGCGCATAAGCAACCCCACATGGGCTGCTCTGCACTTCAACGGACCTCATCCATCTCTCTGGGCATGCAAACCAAAAATGTGCTAGCAGACGCCATCACGACCCCCACACACACCGCCAGGCATGTCAGCCTCCACAAGGGCAGGACCGATCCCAGCAGGTGTCTCTTACCGGTGGATTTAATTTCCCGGACGTAGTTGCTGGGGAACCAGCCGGTCTTCCCATTCAGAGTCCCTTCCCACCAGCCCCCTTCCTCCGTGCGGGTGACGTAAATGATGTCCCCCTTGTTGATGGTCAGCTCATCTTCGTTGGTCTGCTTGAACTGGAAACGGGCCTTGACCACAAGTTGGTGGCTTCCGTTCTCGGTCATCTCCTAAGGACAGAGCAAACGAGATCAGGAGGAGGGTTGGTTCCGGAAGAGAAAGACGAAAGGAGGAGGCTGGGAAGAAGCGAGAAAGGGAATCAAACTTCATGAATTCGTGTTTAGTAAAAGAAGGACCAGGGGTGACATATGATAACAGTCTTCCGGTATCTGAGGGGCTGCCCCAAAGAAGAGGGAGTCAAGCTATTCTCCAAAGCACCTGAAGGCAGGACAAGAAGCAATGGATGGAAACTGATCAAGGAGAGAAGCAACCTAGAACTAAGGAGGAATTTTCTGACAGTGAGAACAATTAATCAGTGGAACTCCTTGCCTCCAGAAGTTGTGGATGCTCCAACACTGAAAGTTTTTAAGAAGGGACTGGACACCATTTGTCTGAAGTGGTGTAGGGTTTCCTGCCTAAGAAGGGGGTTGGAGTAGATGACCTCCAAGGTCCCTTCCAACTCTGTCTGAATAGCAAGTATGAAATAGGAAGAAGCAGAAGAGAGATGCTTTGGTTGGCTAACCGAGGTCAGGAAGGGCTGAAGCTATGAAGCTGACAGATTCTTCTTCAAAAAAAAATGAGAGACGGGTTTGAACGCGGAAATTCCTGCTTCACCGTTCAACTGTACAACTATTCTGCTGCACCAGGTTAACACCAGGCCTTGGACTCCCCGCCTACTATTTCCTGTGCTGATCCAACACATTTTTAGGATGGCGTATTATTCTTGACTTTAAGAAGGGATAGGCCAGGAGAAGAGGGATAAATAAACAACTAGGGAATAAAACAAAGCCAACTCAAACCTAGACGATCATGAATTTCAATGAAAACAACACTGCATTAATTAAATCCAACCCCTAAGCTCTCTTTTTTTTCGTATGTCCTCACCATCTGAGGTGGGCAGAATGGACTTGAGAAGGCCACACAGCCAAGGGTGGTGAAGGAAGGTTACAAATGGGTTGTCCCTGCTCTGGGTAGGAAGCGCGCTGAAACGTACCCCAACTCTTGACTGTCTCTGCAACACTCTCGATGGCCGAGTGGAGGCTGCTTGGGTCAGGGGCTGGCAGTCACCGGGGGCCGGAGAAAGCGGCTGAGAACATGGCTTCCTGGTAGCACTTCCTGGATCTGTTAAAAAGGAGAAGAGGTCAAAAACGGAAGGAAATAACCCTTGCTGAGCTGAGGCTAGAAAAAGAGCTACAAGGGGTCAAATGGAAGCCTACATCTTCTTGCACCCCAACTAAAAGCTCCTTGAGGAATGGTTCTCAACTTTAACCATTTTAAGAAGGGTGGACGTCCAACTCCCAGAATTCCCCAGGCAGTAGATCACAGTTTCTTGTTAAACGAGGCTAGATTCAGTGCTGGGATTCAAAGAAATTTATTATTGGTTCTGTGGGTGTGGTTTGGTGGGCGTGGCATGGCATGGCGTGGCATAGCGGGTGTGGTGTGGCTTGGTGGGCGTGGCAGGGGAAGGATACTGTAAACTCCCCATTCCCTCCCCACCCCACTAACCTGCTTTGCAGCTCTGCTCTCCTGTGCAGGGCAACCAAAGAAGACCCAGCCGATCAGCTGGGACTCGAGAGGCGGAGAACAGACAGGGACGGAGCCAATCAGAGGTGGCATTTGCTGGTTCTCCGAACTACTCAAAATTTCCACTACTGGTTTTCCAGAACTGGCCAGAACTGTCATGCCCCCAGTGGAGACTGAGGTAGAGGAAGAATAGCCGACAAGGAGTTGAAGTGTGGCTCCAGATGTTTTGGAGGAGGCTGGGGAAGGGCACAGACTGGCTGGGCAGTCAGAGGAGGACCCAGGCCCATCCTTTCTCCATCCTAGGGCATGCAGGGAGGAAAAGATAAGGGAGAGACATGGTCTACTGGGGAGAAGAGGACCTTGATCCTCTTCATGGGCTGCAGCTGTGACAACTGGATAAGAGGACGGACATGTGTACGGGCAAGTGCTGGAAACAAAGCATGGAAATATTTCAAGTTTATTGTTCCTCTCTGGGTTTGGCGTCCTTCCCAGTGTGTGTTCTGATATCTGTGGACGTCTTCAAGCCCTTATCTTGCCTGGCTTGTGTTGTTTTTTACTCTTTATAATTTAAACGGCATTTCCTCCTTCTTGTAACTGCTTGTGTGGGAGTTTTTTTTGTCTCCAGTCAAGGATGTTTGGAGCTTGGAAGCAAAGTGAAGGAATAGAAGGGGCTTCACCTGTTTTTTTGTGACTGTGTACATTTTGTATCCCACCCTGCGTCATCACAAGAACCTGCTGAATACAACCTCTGGCTAGATTCCTGGGCCACAATCTCCCACCAGGGTCTACCTAAAGGGGGGATGATATTCAGAACCGGGTATCACGGCCCTATCAGATCCTGGTTCGGAGGAGGAGGATGAGTTGGAACTAGGACCATCCAATGGGGCTGGCATGTCTCCCTCGGCATGTTTAGACAGTCCCGGGCTGAGGTCGATACTGTCCCAGGACCTTCGGACAATTGGGGGGGAGATGGTGGACTGGACAGAGAGCTGCCTGCCCTCACAGCCACAGGAGAGGATTGGCTGCAGACCTGCAGGGGTGTTGAGAGGAACAGCTGCTCCCCACTGACCCGAGGACATGGAGAGTAGACTAAAGGCAACGAGGTCTGCAAGGCTGCTTGGGAGAAGGCCACCCCACCTCTCCTCACAAGGAACATGTGGCGTGGGTTGACTTAAGCAGAAGCTGGGGAAATTGTCCTGGTTGGGAACAATTGTGTCAGAGTATATTCACGAACTGGAACGGAGCTGAGGAACAAGGCCAGCCCATGAGAGCTGAATTGGGGGCTGAAACTTAAAAGAGAGAATCTGGACGTGGCTTATCTCTGTTCTGTGCTCAGCTCTAAAGTGAAAGAGAAACTAACTTGCCTAAAAACTGAAAGGGATATCTGCTTTGAGCTGCTTTGAGCTGCTGCTGCTTCGGTTTTTGCTCGTGTTAATACTGAAAGGATCTACAAATAGTATTATGAACTTTACTCGTGTCACTACGTTCATCAAGAAGTTAATGATCCCGCTCAATCAAGCATCTCTGTGTTTTCTGGATTTGAATCTCTGCCGCAAACTCTAACAAATTGTTTGCTTTGGCACACACTCCCTCAGCTTTGGAAAAACTCAGCCTTGGCTCCTGTTTCTGCCTTATGGACCTTGAATCTGGACCTTGTCCCGTGAGCTCGGACCTTCTCTTGGAACTTCCTCTCTGCCTTTGTGGATTTGCTTTGGTTTTGTGGCTTACTGGCTTTGGTTTGTGGGGCTGGGGGTGTGCAGCCCTTCAGGGGAGCGTGCGGTGGAGCCTCTGCCGGCCTCTGCCAGCCTCTGCCTTGAGATGACCTGGGTCACAACATTGGGACTTTTAAAAAAAGCCTTTCCCTACTCAGCCTTCGGAAGAAAAAAGTGTGTTGCTAAGGAGAACAGCTTTCAGCATCATATGGCAGGCCGTTTCAGGAGGAGGGAAGTGTGGGTGGTTTATAAGTGTGGCATCCATGCGTCGTCCTCTCCGTCAACCAGCTGGTGCCACAGATTGCGTGAGTTGGAGAGGTATCTAGTCCAGCCCTGTTCCGGGCAGGAATTCAGCAGCATTTCTTAATTTTAACCATTTTAAGATGGGTGGGCCATCCAACTATCCATCCTATCTGTGTCTCCCTCCCTCCCTCCCTTCTACCCATCCTTATTATATGTCTGTCCATCGATCCATCAATTCATTCATCCATGTTATCTGTCTATCTGCCTATATGACTATTTATCTACCTGCTGTACCTACCTACACACCCTCCCATCCATCCACCCATCCATCCATCCATGCTGTGTCTCCCTCCCTCCCTTCCACCCATCCATGTTACATATCTGTCCATCCATCTAGCCATCAATTCATTCATCGATGTTATCTGTCTGTCTATCTACCTATAAGACTGTCTGTCTATTTACCTATCTACTTACGTACCTACCTACCCATCTATCCATCCAGTGAACCATCCATCCATAAAATATTATATGTCTGTCTGTCTCCCTTCCACCCATCCATGGTATATGTCTGTCCATCCATCTAGCCATCCATCCATCATCCATCCATCCATCCATCCATGTTATCTCTCTCTCTCTCTCTCTCTCTCTCTCTCTCTCTGTCTCTCTCTCTCTGTGTCTCTGTCTCTGTCTCTGTCTCTCTCTCTGTCTCTCTCTCTCTCTCTCTCTCTCATATATGCCTGTCCATCTGTCTGCCCATCTCTTCATCCATCCATCCAATAAATGGACATCAGAACACAGTGGCCAAGAAATAAACCAACAGCTAAGGAAGAGACCCATTCAGCACAATCTGTTTCTGTTTTTAGGTGTCAAATTATACGCTTCAACATTTTTCATTCAACGTCACAGATGTTCTTGCCACCCCCACAGATATAAATATATAAACCTCCACTGGTGGGACAGGATGGGACCCTCTGGAAGGTTTGCCACCTGTTTCACGCCAAGCAGGGCAACAGAAAATCTATTCAGATACGCTCAGGGAAGCCTCAATCCTTTTCTATATTCTTCAGCTTGCTCTAAATCTTGTTAAAATCTAGCATCTGTTCAGCAGGATTCCACTGTTTGCATCTCCTAAAGCTTTTAGCTTTAAATAAAGATTTCATTGTGCATTACCAGCCCGACCATATCATGTTAAGTGGATCCTTGCCAAATCCTCCAAGAATGATCTAAATAGTAGAGAAAACAGTAAAGGAACTACAGTACTGACATGTGGATTTTATTCTACTGCAATCCAATGTTGAGAAAGAAAAGAAAGAAAGAAAGAAAGAAAGAAAGAAAGAAAGAAAGAAAGAAAGAAAGAAAGAAAGAAAGAAAGAAAGGAAGGAGATTTATTTTGAGGAAGGAAGGAAGGAAGGAAGGAAGGAAGGAAGGAAGGAAGGAAGGAAGGAGATTCATTTTGAAGAAAGAAGGAAGGAAAGAAGAAGATTCGTTTTGAGGAAGGAAGGAAAGAAGGAGGGAGAGAGATTCATTTTGAGGAAGGAAGGAAGGAAGGAAAAGATAGACATGAAACAAAGGAGGGAAAGAAAAAAGAAACATTAATTTTGATGAAGGAAGGAAGGAGAAAGAAAAGAAAATAATAAATAGGTTATGGGAAGAGAACAAAACTGGAACATACTTTCATCTTTGAAAAGGAATAAGCACCAGTTTCTATAGGAACAGCCAATTTTTTCTTCTATTGTTCTCCTGCAAATAGATGGGGCTGGGTGTGTGTGTGTGTGTGTGTGTGTGTGTAGATGCCCCACATTGTCGAGATAAAGCCTCTTTCAAGCCTAGCTTGAGTCACGAGTCCTCTGTGGACACGTCCTTGGCTTTTATTGAACAACAACAGGGAAAGTTTGCTCCTGCCTCCTCTCCATGTTCCCCCTGCCTCCCAGAGCTGGCCTAGAGCCCCGAAATATCGCGGTCGCTTGTAAACCCGGCTTGGCTTTTTAAAACTAGCCACGGTTGGCTTTAGTGAGCTGCCCGCCTAGAGAAATATCTCTGGAGTTCAGAACAAAGCTGGGAAATGAAGGCAAGAGACGTTCGCAGGAAAATATTGTGAGATTCCCCCCCCCCCTTTTTTTTTTTCTGCCTTACCTTCCGTTGCTTTGTTGAGAGACAAAAGGGCAGTCAGTACCTTGGAGAAGTTTTCTCCTGAGTAGAGATCGTGGGCATCAAACAGCTGGGAAAAAGATGAAAAAAGAAGAAGAAATGTCATGCCAATCTTTGCAGCCTTAAGAATAGAATAGAATATATGAATAGAATAGAATAGAACATAGAATAGAATAATAGCATAGAATAATAAAATAGAAGACTAGACTAGACTAGACTAGACTAGACTAGACTAGACTAGAAGGATAGAATGGTAGAATAGTAGAATAGAATAGAATAATAGAATAAAATAATAGCATAGAATAATAGCATAGAAGAATAGAATAGAAGAATAGAATAGAATAGTATAGAATAGGAATAGAACAGTAGACTAGAATAGTAGAATAGAAGAATAGACTAGACTAGACTAGACTAGACTAGAATAATAGAATAGAATAATAGAATAAAATAATAGAATAGAATAGAATAGAATAGAATAGAATAGCATAGAATAGAATAGAATAGCATAGCATAGCATAGCATAGCATAGCATAGCATAGCATAGAATAGAATAGAATAGAATAGAATAGAATAGAGGAGAGCAGAGCAGAACAGAACAGAATTCTTTATTAGTCAAGTGTGGTTGGACACACAAGGAATTTGTCTTCGGTGCATAACTCTCAGTGTACATAAAAAACACATTCATCAAGAATCCTAAAATACAACACTTAGGGATAGTCATAGGATACTAAATAAGCAATCAAAATCCTACTAGGAAACTAAATAAATCAATACAAATCATAAAGATACAAAAGCAACAAGGTTATATAGTCATAAGTAGAAGGAAAGGCAGGTAATAGGAAAGATGAGAAGAAGAATGGCAACCCAGTCTTAGTGGATAGAATGTGCTAATTTAATTTAGGAAACGCCATCCAAATGTTTAGAACTGTTTCAGCTGCTGTGAGTATGCAAAGCTCTACGTTTAGGGGCAGTCTACCTTGCAATGCCCCTGGCTAAGGCTGGAGGCTACAGGAAGAGCCCTCTTGGTGAGCTTCCTAGAGATATTTGGCTAGCAACAAGGGCTGCTAAAGCAAGTTAAATTTTAAAAGCATTTTTTCCCCTTTACGTCAGCTGTTCTGCAGCTGAACTCCCCAAACGCTATGCTTCTGTGGCTTTCTTTACATTATGGGCCAACCCAGGGCTATTCTGTGGCCTGAAGACTATAATTTAAAGTTCTAACGAAGGGAACATGAGTTTGTTTATTTGAGCAACTGTTTGCAAGGCCAAACTATCATCTGTGCCACGCCATGATTCTGGATTGTGGTTCATATCTTTTCTGGCCGTTTGAGTACCCGAGGGATCTGGGCTTTATTTTAGAGGCCACAGCATCGGGGAGTTGTGCTCACAAGGTCCAATTTATGGCAGGATCAATGCATGCTCTGGGAGGGGGCTATGTTTCGGAATCCATTTTATTCTTGCAAACAAGTAGAGTCCATTTTTCCAAGATTATTATCCACTCAAGACAACACAGGATAAAATAGGCACTGAGACACCAATGCAACCAGCAACAAAATCACATAGCAGTATTTGAAATAATCACATAGCAGTATTGACATAGGACTATTACAGTATTTGAGGGTCGGACCCAAAGAAGAGAGGGGTCAAGTTATTTCCCAAAGCACCAGAAGGCAAGACAAGAAACAATGGATGGAAACTAATCAAGGAGAGAAGCAACTTGGAATTAAGGAGAAACTTTCTAACAGTGAGGACAATTAACCAGTAGAAGAGGTTGCCTTCAAAAATTGTGGGTGCTCCAACACGGGAAGTTTTTAAGAAAAGACTGGACAACAATTTGTCTGAAATGGTGTAGGGTCTCCTGATGGAGCAGGGGGTTGGGCTAGAGGACCTCCAAGGACCCTTTCCATTCTATTCTATTCTACGATTTCTCCCGTTATGACGGACCAGGATGGAATGCGCAAAAGCAGTAGAAATGATTAATGAAAGGCCTTTGGCGGGGAACAAAACAAAAACCTCGAGACCCTCTTTTAAAAAGGGGGAAAGGAAGGGATGTCATCTGTGGCAGCCATCATCGCATGCATCGTTTCATAAGAGGCATTTCCACCGTGTGCACGATTGGAAAATTCCCTTTCCTTTTTTCGAAACATATTCCTTGTATCCTACATTTACGGAAGACTCATCGCCCCTACAGGAGATTAATCACACTCAGGTTATAAATTCCATCACGTCCAACACAGATCCATCCCATCCAAACCAACCCAGAATGCCTTAATTAATGTATCTTCCCTTTTTTATAGTCAGAAAGGTCCTTGCTATGGATCTGAAGACAAAGTTTCGCTGATTTTACCCGTCAGCCAAATTCCCTTAAAACCAAGTTCTCCGCGCAACGGATATGCTTCCAAAAGCAAACATAAAGCACTTGCCTGATCATTTTTTTTTTTAATCCCACATTTTGCATTTGGGTTTTCCAGAAGTGAAAAAGAAAGATTAGAATCCAGAGGTCTCCAAACTTGGCAAGTTTAAGACTTGTGGACTTCAACTCCCAGAATAGCTGGCTGGAGAATTCTGGGAATTCAAGTCCACAAGTCTTAAACTTGCCAAGTTTGGAGACCTCTGGGTTAGACAGCGGGAAGGAAGGGAAAACGGCCTTCTTGAATGGAAAGCAACATGGGTAGAAAACAGATCTCGTGGGGAGGAAAGGGAGGGACCGATTGGGACCTGGAGGGCCACAGAAGGAAGCACCCCATGGAAGGGAGCTGCTCAGCCTCCCCCAGTCCCACCTGGGAGAAAGGAGGCCTTCTGATGTTCTCCAGAAGCCAATCAAGCGCAGGTAAGCAGAAGTGAAACCATGATGGATCTTCCCCACTGAATGTGTGGGTCCCCTCCCCTTTAAACAAATCCCACCCCCCTCAGCTTAGAGTCTAGAGCAGGGGATCCCCCAAAACGTGGCAATTCGAAGACTTGGCTGGCTGGGGAATTCTGGGAGTTGAAGTCCACAAGTCTTAAAAGCCGCCCAGATAGTTCCTCCTCTGTGCAACCTCCAAGAAAAGGCATTGCGCAATCGTTCCAGCTTTTTTCAACCTTCGGGGGGTCTCGATGATGCCCCTTCCGGACTTTCGATTGTCAATCACCTGGCCGGATCTTACCCAGAAATCTAGCCCTGTCCCCCTCATCCTCCCCCCCCCCCCGCCTCTTCCCTCTGTTCTCCCCCTTGCTTCGTCTGCCTCTTTACTCCAGAAAAGCAATTCGGTCAAGGGTGAGAAATCAATTATTAAGTTGTTTCTGGACGGACAGCAGAATTCCCAACTTGACCTCTAAGAGTGCAACTGACCGGGTGCTGGAGGTCTCTCCCCTCTTCTCTGCCCCCTTGATGGATGGAGAGCAAAGGCCATAAGTGGATGATGGGCCTGGATGTCCAACCACCCGGCAAATTGGATCTGGAAGCACCCAGGGGGCTTTTGCACAGCTGGCATCCGGCAAGAGGACGCTCCCCCCCCACACACATGTGGAAGGGGGTGCAGATGCCCTTGCCACATCTGGGGCTCGCCTTGCCACATCTGGAGGGCGTCGCAGGAAGAGAGGAGCCAGGGCCGGACGGGGCCCGAGAGGGAAGAAAGGGAAAACGGAGAGGCTCCGCCGCAGCCGACTTAATTCCCCCTTGGGGACCCTTCGGGCCGGCCCGACAAACCGGAGCCGAAGGAAGCTCAAGGAGAGAAACTTGACGAGGAAGGAGGAAGCGTCTTACCTGCGGTGGGAAGCTTTACCTGCGGAAGGCCCCGGGAAGGAAGGGAGGGAGGGAGCAGGGCCGGGATGGGTGGGTGGGCGCACCGGGAAGCCCCTGCGCGGGTCGAAAGAGGCGCGGAGGGGATGCGGAGCGGACGGCGCAGCTGGAGGAGGAGGAGGAGGAAGAAGAAGAGGAGGAGGAGGAAGAAGAAGAGGAAGAGGAGGAGGAGGAGGAAGACTCCGCAGCTGGCTCGCCCGCCCTCCCGCCCGTCCGGTGGCTCAAGCTCTGCGCTCCGTGTTGCCCGGCCGCTGCTGCTGCCTGCCTGCCTGCCTGCTTGGCTGGCGAAGCGCCGTTGGGCAGGGACGGCCTGACCCGGAGCTGGATCGCGGGCGGGCGGCGCAAAGCAGGGGAAGTGACAGGCGGCGGGAGCGGGAGGCAGCCAGCCAGCCAGGCAGGGGCGATGCTCCGGAGCGCCCCCTCCACGCCGCCGCCGCCGCCGCTTCGGTTGCTGGCGCAGCGCCCTTGCCTTCTCCGGAGCCAGCCGGACGCG